CAGTCATAAACCTTTTAATTTTGCCAATTGAGTCCTAAACCTTTTCATTTCTTGCCAATTAAGTTTATCTAGCCAATTTTGGCCAGAAATCGCTGACGTAGACGCCGGACGGCCACGTGACGCTGACGTGGACATTTTAAATTAATATTTTAATAAATTATGATTTTTGTTCTTCTTTTTTTTTCCTTCTCTCTCTCTCTCTCTCTCTCTCTCTCTCTCTCTCTCTCTCTCTCTCTCTCTCTCTCTCTCTCTCTCTCTCTCTTTTCTGGTTCTGAAATTAGGGCTGGTGAGGGTGGCCGGCCGACCCTCGCCGGCTCTGGGCGAGGGTCGGCCAACCCTTGCTGGCTCTGGGCGAGGGCATCGCGACCCTCGCCGAATCTCGATGAGGGTCGCGACGCCCTCGCCAGATCTAGCTAGGCGAGGGCTTGGCGGCCCTCACCCAGATCCGGCGAGGGCGTTGATCTGGCCAGGTGAGGGCTTGGCGGCCCTCGCCGGCCCCAAACATGATCACCATCTACGACCACATAAAGGTTCTCAATTGATGAAGAAATTTAGTTATGTTAATGTATTGAGCCATGAATATCCAATTAATCTCTTTCGTGTGGATTGATCCGGATGATCAAGGTTCAACATAACTTTCTCTTCATCAGTCTGTAGGGCAAAAGAAAAGTAAAAAAGTTTCTCGGAAAAAAACCCCCAAAAGATGGAAAAGATGGTGAATGACTTTCTTCTTCATCAATTGCGGTGAGAAGGACTTGAAAGTCATATTTGATGTAAACGCATGGACAGATGCACACCGTCCATCGCTTTGTGATTTTTTTCTTGCCTGATTCTTACTCTTACAATATTTCCAAGAAAAGAAGACCTCGAAAGTAATATATGATGTAAAGACCTTGAAAGTCTTATATGATGTAACTCTTTATGGTCCGCAAGTTTTGATTGACAAGTGGAGCTTTCATAAGAGTTAACCCCAAGAAAATTCAGCTGAATGACACTATAAGCGTCGATTTTTTCCAAGCGAATTCCCACCACATAGCAGTCCTCACCTCATATGGTTTAATCATTGGCCGTTAAAAGACAAAACTCTCTCAATTCTTTGAAACAAAAAACCAATGCGTGCTAAGCAAGCCACGTGTTCCGTAAAGGAAATTGCTTGCATGACTGTCGTCATTTTCCAAGGAGAACAACGACCTTTCATGCACCACAAAGTCCTTTCCAAGAAACCAGATGACTAACTCATCCGATCACAAAGTTATTCCCAATTGACAAGCATACGCTCAGATAAAAAAATAACAGCATATTCTAAACAAGTCTATTAAAAACTCGATCTAATTGACACGTTCTATGTTATGTGTTAACTATGATTATAATCATCAAAATTTTCTATTAGATTTGCATATGCTTAATTATTTAAGCTTTTATGTGTTAAGTGTAATCAAATTCAATGGAGATTGAATCGAGCTGATGCGTCCTAGAAGGAAAAGCCAATAGCTGCAGTAATTGACAAGGTATCACCCTACGAGATTGGATTTAGTCTAGGTTTAGCACGGTCCGCCAGATGCTCAAAGACAGTCCTCAGGGAACCACCATAGATGATCTAATTGAAGAGTTGTTATTAGAAAAACTATACGTGAATAGCTCAAAGTGTATCATCGCTTTTTGCAATTCGATACTAAAGACACAACCTTGGCGACCAAACAACAAGATAACCAAAATCGTTCTTTGAAATCCGAATAGCAGATCCATCATCAAGACGATTGAAATTGAAAAGTTCACAGGGACCTGACTCCCGCATTAAAACAGTTGTATTCATGGAGGTTCCGCTCCCTCGCCATAGATCCCAAGAGCATACAAGACAAGCAAATCCAGGCAATTTGCACAAACAACAGTGATAATACAGATAGGCTCAAAGGTCGGTGCACATCATTCTTCAATCGTTGCAACCTCTAGGACACAAACAAATTCAGAACATTTTTTATGCAACCTAACCATGGCCGGAAGAAATTCCGGTGAAACGCACCCCAAACAAGATCACCATCTATCACCATATAAAGGTTTTCAATAGATGAGGAAATTTAGTTCTGTTAATGTATTGAGCTATGAATTTCTAAACTAATATCTTTCGTGTGAATTGATCCGGATGATCGAGGTTCAACCGTGGTCCATAACATTCTCTATATGAGTCTGTACGGGCAAAAGAAAAGCAAAAAGTTGCTCGGAAAAGATGGTGAATGGCTTTCTTCTTCATCAAGCGCGGTGAAGAGAAGAGCTTGAAAGTCACGGACAGATGCACACCGTCCATCGCTTTGTGATTTTCTTCTTGCCCGATTCTTGCTCTTACAATATTTCAAAGAAAAGAAGAGCCCGATTCTTACTCTTACAATATTTCAAAGAAAAGAAAGAGCTTGATGTAGGAAAAGACTCTCCTTTTTCTATTCAATGAATATATTTTCTGTACATTTACAATGCTTAATCCTGTTATATATATAGGACATATGACAACCCTAATTAGGAGATATACAATAGGAAGGATTCTATACTAGGAAGAAATCTATACAATAAAAATGCCTAATAAATAGGCTAAAATAGCTCACGACCACACTCCCCCTCAAGTAGGTGCAAAGATGTCTTTGATACCCAACTTGATAAGTGAGCAATGAAATTCTCTACTTGACAGAGCCTTTGTCAATATATCAGCTAACTGGTCTTCAGACTTGACAAATGGTAACTGGATCACTTTTGCCTCCAAATTCTCTTTGATGAAATGTCTGTCAATCTCCACATGTTTGGTTCTATCATGCTGAACTGGATTATGAGCAATATTTATGGCTGCTTTATTATCACAAAACAATTTGATTTCCAAACCTGGTGGATACCCGAGCTCAGTTAGCAGCTTTCGAAGCCATAGAAGTTCGCATAACCCCTTTGCTACACCTCTGAATTCAGCTTCTGCACTAGACCGAGCTACAACCTTTTGTTTCTTACTTCTCCATGTAACAAGGTTGCCTCCCACAAATGTAAGATACCCTGATGTAGACCTCCTGTCTGTCACACTTCTAGCCCAATCTGCATCTGTGTAACCTTCTATTTCAAGGTGGCCATTCTTTGCAAATAGCAACCCCTTTCCTGGGGCTGACTTCAAATATCGAATGATGCGCCACACAGCACTCATATGACCCTCACTAGGTGCATGCATGAACTGACTCACCACACTTACTGCATGAGCAATATCAGGACGTGTATGTGATAAGTAAATCAATCGACCTACTAACCTTTGGTATTTCTCTTTATTAGTAGGCGTTTGATCAGGGTACTCTCCAAGCTTACAGTTTTGTACCATAGGAGTGTCTGCAGGCTTACAATCTAGCATGCCAACTTCGGTCAAAAGATCAAGAACATACTTCCGCTGAGAAAAGTAAATCCCTTCCTTCGACCTAGCAACCTCGATTCCCAGGAAATATTTCAAACCTCCCAAGTTCTTCATCTCAAACTCCCTTGATAATAATTTTTGCAGTCTCATAATCTCTGCACTATCATTGCTTGTAATAATCATGTCGTCTACATATATGATAAGAGCTGTCATTCTTCCTTGAGCACCTTTTAAGAACAATGTATGATCTGAGTTACTTTGGGAGTATCCATACCCTTTCATAGCTGAGCTAAAGCGACCAAACCATGCACGAGGGGACTGCTTCAACCCATACAATGATCTTTCCAGCTTACAGACCATGTTTGGCTTATCTGCACATCTGTATCCAGGTGGAAGCTCCATATAGATCTCCTCCTCTAAATCTCCATGAAGAAAGCATTCTTCACATCAAATTGATGCAAAGGCCAGTCCAAGTTTGCAGCCAGAGATAACAACACTCTTATAGTGTCTAACTTTGCAACCTGGAGAGAATGTTTCCCGATAATCCACCCCATAAGTCTCGTGTATACCCTTTAGCTACCGGTCGCGCCTTATACCTCTCAATAGTGCCGTCCGCCTTATGTTTGACTGTGAACACCCACCTACATCCAACCGGCTTTTTATCCTTTGGTAGTTCCACAAGTTTCCAAGTTCGATTTTTCTCCAACGCCTCCATCTCTGCCTCCATCGCTTGAAGCCATTTCGGATCCTTCATGGCTTCTTCAACCCTGTTTGGAACTTGAACTGAGGAAATCGTACACACGAAGGCTTGTAGTGGTGTGGACAGCCTCTTGGCAGACACATAGTCTGCAATAGGGTATCGAGACCGGCGGTCCTCTACATCCGGAGAATATCGATTCGGCAGTTTACCCCTATTATGCCTATCGGGTAGCTTATAACCAGTAAGCACATCAGTATCTTCAAAAGAATCAAGTACAGTAGAAGTACTTACCTCAGGTACATTCTCAAGAGCTTGGAATGGTACTAAAGAGGGCGAAGAGGGCGAAGACAAGGAGGGCTGTTGACAGTTGCAGCTGTGCATCTGTTGACAGTTGCAGCTGTGCATCTGTTGACACCTGTTCGGACCCATGCCGTAATTTAGTGTTGTCTGGTCGTGCATCCTCAGAATCATGCGGCAGTAGCTCAAAATCTTCAGCCTCAGCAGCCTCAGAATCACGTGCAACCTCAAAATCACGTGCGCACCCATCCGTCGCTCCTGCAATTCCTACCTCCCACCAATGTCTGGTTCTACAACTAGTCTCCCCCTGAACAAGACACTGGGGGGAAGGAAAATAGGACTCCGTCTCAATAAATGTTTCATTCATGGTGACATACATGCGCTTCTCGGCAAGATCATAACACCGATACCCTTTCTGAGAAGGGCCATAACCAAGAAACACACATTTGACTGCACAAGGGTCAAGTTTGGTCCGCTGATTTTTGTGAAGATGGACATAAGCGACACACCCAAACACCTTAGGAGGCAATGTAAGAACCGAAGGAAGAGACACATGGGCAGCAAGTGCTTGCATTGGCGTACGATAGCTCAGAATGCGGGAAGGCATGCGATTCAACAAATAAGCAGCTGTGACTACGGCAGAATCCCAAAAACGATGGGGAACATGGCTACCCTCCAAGAGTGCTCGAGTGGTTCAAGAAGATGGCGATTCTTGCGCTCAGCAACACCATTCTGCTGAGGAGTTTGAGGGCAAGAAGTTTCATGTATCAAACCATGTTCTTGAAAATAAGTTGCAAGAGGTTTACTTAAGTATTCGCCACCATTATCAGACCTGAGAACCTGAAGTTTGGCCCCAAACTGAGTCTGAATCATACAGTGAAAAGTCCGAAAGATAGCTTCAGCCTCATTCTTATGTTTCATCAAATATAGCCAAGTCATACGTGCGCAATCATCAACAAAGATGATAAACCATCTAAACCCAGATACAGTAGTAATAGGAGACGCACCCCATACATCAGAATGATTAAGGAAAAAGGAGCAGAACTTATATTCAAACTGGGAGGAAAACAAGTGCGATGGCTCTTTGCCAAAATACATGTATCACACTGAAAACTAGAGTTCGATAGATCATGAAATAACTTGGGAAACAAATGCCGTAAATACCCAAAAGATGGGTGACCTAACTGACGGTGCCATAACCAAAGTTCCTTCTCTTGAGCTAACTGTCCACGAGAATGATAGGTCCGTCCAGAAGTAATTTCATCCACGAAATACAGCCCCTCCCTCTTAGTACCACGCCCAATAATCTCCTTCGTGAGAATGTCCTGAAACAGGCAAAAATCAGGGTACATAAGCACAACACAGTTCAACTCACTAGTAAGCTGTCCAACTGATAACAGACGATTAGACAATGAAGGAACAAGCAAGGTATGAGATAGAGAGAGAGAGAAGGCGTGACAGACACACGCCCAGCAGCCGTCACAGGAAAGCTATATCCATTAGCATTGTAAATATGATCTCGACGTGGTGTAGTAGATGTAAGAAGATCACCAGATTCCGGAGTCATATGATCTGTAGCGCCAGAATCAATTATCCACCCATGATGACCATCACCATGTCCATTAGCAAAGACAAACCCACAATTACCTTCAAGAGATTCGGCATTAGCAGATTCAGTCTCCATGGGAATTAATGACAAGCCGCTAGTCACTAAGGAGGCTTGCCCTCCATTCCGCCCTTTTTGGGAGCCCTGTTTCTTCTTCTTGGTCTCGAAAATCATCCCACCAATCTGGATAACCATGCAAGTTTAAAACAAGATGCTTGCTATATGTTTAGGATTCCCACAAAGTGAGAGCATCCCTCGATTGAATTGGCATACCAGGTTTAGGGCGAGGTCCCCGGGCAGAAAGCACTAACTGATCACCCTTGCCCCGCTGTGACACCATGGCGGAACCAGAGGTGACCTCGACAGGAGTGGAGAGCACGACAGATTGGCGCATATCCTCTCGCCTGACTCGGGCATAAGCTTGCTCAATAGTGGGAAACGGATCCATCTTCATAACATCAGCACGAACATTATCCAGGCGGTCATCGAGACCATCCAAAAAAGTATAAACTCGATCTTCATGAACAATGGCATTGTACCTCAGAATATCGGCCGGACATTGCATAGGATTAGGACGGCGGAAATCAATCTCACGCCAGAGCCCTTGAAGATCATTGTAATATTTCTCGATGGGTCCACCGCCTTGCTTCAATCGAGAAACCTGCCTCTTAATATCATAGATTTGGGAGGTGTCAGATCCATCCAAAAAGGTCGTTGCCACAGCATCCCATACGGCTCTGGCAGTAGGAAAACCGAATAAAGTTTGGTATCAAGGCTGGGTCTATAGAATTGATAAGCCAACCTTTCACCGTAGAATCATCGGTCTTCCATTGTCTAAAAGATGGATCTGTAGGAGGGGGCTCAGGAGAATCACCATTCAAATAACCCAGTTTGTCTTTGCCCGAGACATACATCTCAACAACCTGGGACCATACGCCATAATTTTTGCCATCAAGCTTGACAGCAATCGGTGCAACAGGAGGTTCAACGCGCGGCAGCGCGGCTCGCTGGGTCAAGAGCCGCTTCATCGCAACGGTCGGTCTCGCCGGGATGGCAAGTAGCAGCAGGCGCTAGCATCCGCTTGGTCGGATTGTAACACTCGACTGTTCGTCGGCCATGAGATCAGATTCGCAAACTGAATTGCGATGAAGAAGATCGGGAAAGACGCACGTCGGCGCCGTAGTCGATGATTGACGTACAGTACCCCAAGGATCAAACCCTAGGGCTTTGATACCATGTAGGAAAAGACTCTCCTTTTTCTATTCAATGAATATATTTTATGTACATTTACAATGCTCAATCCTGTTATATATATAGGACATATGACAACCCTAATTAGGAGATATACAATAGGAAGGATTCTATACTAGGAAGAAATCTATACAATAAAAATGCCTAACAAATAGGCTAAAATAGCTCACGACCACACTTGAAAGTCGTATATGATGTAACCCTTTATGGTCCGCAAGTTTTGATTGACAACTGGAGCTTTCATAAGAGGTTAAATCGCGTAATTTCCCACGAAAATTCAGCTGAATGGCACTATAAGCCTCAAATTTTTTGAAACAAAACTCTTAATTCTTTGAAACAAAAACAAATGCTTGCTAACCAAGCCGAATTATTCGTCTCATCTTCTTGACCGCTATCATCATTCCATCAATCAAATAGCCTTCAGTATGAACTCCATCCTTTTGGAAAGAGACTGTAAAAAGAAGAAAAACATAAGCACGTTTTTACTAAAAAAATATATATGTATTGTTAAATTCCTCCTAAAATCAATATCAAGCATCAGTTATTTTCTTGCGACCAAAATCAAGGGAAACTGAATTTTCTTGTTCTCATGGAGCTTACTTGTATTTCAATTTCTAAACCATTAAAAAAATGTTCTACCGTTGTATATTAATGGTTTACGATATAAAGAATACCCACCATTTACAAGTGGCAGTGCAATTTCTTATATATGAACTTTTATTGCTCAAATAATATCACTTGAATTTGATATATTTATATTAAACAGAAGGATCTCATCCCTTGGAAACGAGAGCCCATCTCTTATGAATTCAAATGTGCGGCCACAACAGCACCATCAAAAATTAAGATAACTGCACCATTATGCTAGCCAAACTGTTCTGTAAAAAATGAGTATGAGTATGAGTAATTTTTATTTTGAGTGGAAATTTCAATAGTTTTTCCCTTTTTAGCTAATGGGTAGTTTGTCCATTTAAAAAGTAATGTGTAGTTTTCTAGACCGTTTTATGATTTTAATCTTTGAATAAATTATGGATGACAAAAATATTTAAAGTTTTCATATAGATTACCATAGACACAAAAATCTGACCCAAAAAAAAAGTACACGCTAAAAAGGATATCTCTCCCTTAAAAGATGATATGGATATGAATAGATAAAAATCAATCTTATCAATACATCGGTCGTCTCCCGAGCATGAATAATGTAGTAGATCAACTTAGAGAAGATTTGGGTGATGGGCACCGCAAGTAGACTCCACCGAGATAAGCCTGAAAAGAACAAACAGGGAAGAAAAGGACTCAATAGCATAATCAAATTAACCTTGTTCCCTATTTAACTAATGAATTATGTTGCAATATGCCCATAGGCAATAACAATAGAAGACGTGGTTGTCTTCGTCCAACTCTGCTCTTTTTACGTTGTTCTCATTTCAAGAACTAACAAAGTGATTGCTTGCTGGAAATACCTGAAGAACGCGTGAAATGAAAACCACTACTCTGCTGTTCGACTCCAGCAGAAATTGTCGCTGCTTCGTAAATCAGAAACCAAAGCTCCTTCAAGTTCCAAGTTTTTCATTGTGAAAGATGAATAAAAGGAGCATCGTTTAAATATCAAGCTGAAAAATGCAAGAGAGGAACGAATGCCTTAAGCCAGTCAAGAAAAGCCAACATGCATTCATCTCAACAGATACTACTGAAAACCCGTGTGATTGCCAATGGTTTATTTCTACATCATCCATTGTAAAATTTATCCCGTTACGGCATAGAGGAAGTATGTCTTCTCTAGACAATCTCATATAAGGTAACCTGGCAACAAAAAAGTTGTATATGAATTGATCCCTAACCAAGCATAACTTGTGCCAAGCTACTTGACCCTTGTCCTGTTCGGAGTTTTTGGACCTCTGGGATTAGTCACACATTTATAGCAGAAGCAAGACTGAAAAGTAATACACTGAAGTTATTGAAGCAACAGAGTGAGATGGAAAAACATGCAGGTGAGCTCCGGAGGATGGAATTACCACAATCATAAATGAACGAAAGAGAAGCCAATAAACAGTCTTCAGCACAAACACTATCAAGTGCAATCTAGTCTTAGCCCTTTTGGGATAGTCTTTTTATGCACAAGTCTCAAGTGCAGTATAGATTAGAAGCCCTTGCATGTCCTGCACATATTTATGCGAACATAATGTCCAGAAGATAAATTCGATTATAATTGTTGCGACCCGCCAAAATTTTCATCTCAGGAGGGAAAATGGCGTAACCTGGTACGCGCTAAGTCTAGGTCTATGACTTAACTTGAGCTCTCCCAAACCCATACGCGCAACAAAAAAATCACAAAGCGCTGGACGGTGGCGTTGACCCAGGTGGGATCTTTGGATCCGAACCGGTGGAAATAAAAAAATCCCAGCCCATAAAAAGGCTGGTCCGGGTCGAGGAGGGCCTGCAGACCGGTCCGACCGGCACTGCAAGCCCAGTCCAACTCGGTTCCCGCATGACTCAAGCACGCGAGGCCCTCAGCGAGGCTAGATTCGGCATCTTGCCAGCTGACCCAGGCCAACTCTGGCCTGGCTCTTGCTCCTAGAGGTCACCCTAAGGCCTTCTCAGGCTATTTAACTCGCCGTCCGACCATCTGCTCGCCGGCTGGCGACCAAAACCAACACAGCCTCACCGAGGCATTTCATTGAACACTTGGTGCTCATGGCCAAAAACAAGGAACACTGACCTGTTTAGGGGATCCGGCCTGCTCCGACAGCTGCGACTCACCTCCGACGGTGACGTGTGGCCTGAGAACGAGGTTGGTATGGGCTAGGATTCGCACGGAACGGCTGGCGCGAATCCCGGCCTACGTGCAAGCAAAAATAGGGTAGAACAGGGGAAATAGAGAGCCGAGAAAAAACTCACCGGTCGGAGCTGCTTCTGGTGGGATCGCCGGTCACGTAGACTCAACGGGGAGACTTCCTTTGGCTTTTTTCTTCAACCTAAGAGCCAAAGTTCAAAACTTTCTCACTCGATCTCACCCTTTTTCTTCTCTCTCTCTGCTCTGTTTTCCGTCTTTCTGTGGCCGACCGTCTCTCTCCTCTTTTCTGGTCTTTTATGGTCGATGACCACTTGCTTCTGCTCCATTAACTCTTCATTCAATGGCCTACACCGGCCTGCTTCTGCATCCTTGACTTTTGCTGGCGTTTTAGGCCGGTGCATAGAGGGGTGCTCTGCTCCTTTGCCTCTTGGTGTTCACGGCAATGGGGAGGAGAAGAGGAGAGAGGGAGAGGGGCCGGGCTGAGCGGGGAAGGAGTAGTTGGGCCGTGCTGTCGGCTGCGCGAGGGAGAGAGAGACAGAGAGTCGAGTCTGTGGTCGCGTGAGGGAGAGAGAGACAGAGAGAAGAGTCGGCTCGCGCGAGGAAGGAGGAGGAAAGGCTGAGCTGGGTCCGGCCGGGCCCAGTCCCGCGGGCGCGAGCGTGGAGAAAAGAAGAAGGGGTCGGGTCGGGCCGGCCTTGGCCCGGCCTGATCTGATTTTTTTTAATTAATTTTTTTAATTAAAAGAGGAAAAATATATTCTAATATTGTAAAATGAACCTAATGTATATATGCAATGCAATTGAAACTAAATAATTTTTTTTGGTTTAGGAATTAAGGGCATTAACACCTAAATTTTGTGTAATTAATTTTGGGCAATTAAAAATAGGTGTCAACAATAATCTTTTCCAAATTTGACTCCAGAAAGACCGACCACAGGAACAGCAGCAGCAGCGACAGCAACTAAGCCGGCTAAGTGGGATTGGGCATATGAATCATATTTTAAGCCATTGCACTCAATAAGTCAAAGAGCAATAGGATTAAGAAATGTAGAGCATAGCTACAGGTGACTCAAAACCAAACCAACCAATACCATTTTTTTTTCACATATCAGATGCACAACAAATATACCATTCTTTGCATTCAAGCAACCTCAGCTTATTACTTATCCAAAAAAAAAACATCCTCACCTTATGTAATGATGACAATTGCAATTTCAATCTCAAGAAGAAAAGAACTTAAGGAAAACACGTTTGGCAGCAATTTTGGCATAACATCCCAGTTTTTGTGAGTAAACTTTGAAGCTTAATAGCTGTCAATAGAGACATTAGCATTAGGGGTAAAACTAGAGATGCAATGACACCGTAATCCCTTAAAATATATAATCGACAAAAAAACAGCACATATTTACCTCATCTCCAACTCAAGTGGTTGCGCAAGCCAAACATGTCTCTGGAACTCAATATATAGCAATGAAGCAAGTTCGGTCGACTGCATAATCAATTTCATGCTGAAGTGTAGACAATGACTAAAAACAAATATAATGCATAAAGTATTCACATGCCCTGCAAACCATATTTTCCGCAAGAAGCATCCACATCTATAAGTGCACATACGCACAAAAGCAAGGTACGGCAAGTCCAGAATCATCTGTCTTTGATAAAAGCAAAGACCTCATCTTCGAATTCTAACGAGGCTAAGGACTAGTGTTTCTAAAATCAATTTGATATAATAGGAACTGCTTAATAAAGTCAATGAACCAACATCTATCTACGAAGAAATAAAGAGTCCAAAGCACACTATAAAACTTCTATTCAGTAACAAATAAGGACTCTTAATTTCTTCTTGGTTATGATAGGCCATTCTAAACCTTTGTACTTTGACATACTTTAGAAAGTCCAATTTTACTAAGGTTTGCTCTTCGAGACGATAGATCTACGAAAATTTTGGTGTGCATCGCCAGTAATAAAGAAAATGTAATATACGTT